CGGTGTACAGAGTCTTGTGTGTGTGTGTGTGTGTGTGTGTGTATGTGTGTGTATGTTTGTGGTTTTGACGGTGGTGACGCAATATACCTTAAGTACACTGTACAACGACCCACCAGCCATTAACGGCGTACTTCACATATAGGTCAAGTATTATATGTACTGACAGTCGCATTAAATAGACAACTTTTACTAGTCCCACATTCCTCATGATTCTCATACGGCTCCTCTTATTCTCACACAGCCCCTTTTGTTCTCACACAGCCCCTCTTATTCTCACACAGCCCCTCTTATTCTCACACAGCCCCTCTTATTCTCACACGGCCCCTCTTATTCTCACACAGCCCCTCTTATTCTCACACGGCCCCTCTTATTCTCACACAGCCCCTCTTATTCTCACACAACCCCTTTTGTTCTCACACAGCCCCTCTTATTCTCACACAGCCCCTCTTATTCTCACACGGCCTCTCTTATTCTCACACAGCCCCTCTTATTCTCACACAGCCCCTCTTATTCTCACACGGCCCCTCTTATTCTCACACAGCCCCTCTTATTCTCACACAGCCCATCTTATTCTTACATATCCTTTCTTATTCTCACACAGCCCCTCTTATTCTCACACAGCCCCTCTTATTCTCACACGGCCCCTCTTATTCTCACACAGCCCCTCTTATTCTCACACAGCCCATCTTATTCTTACATATCCTTTCTTATTCTCACACAGCCCCTCTTATTCTCACACAGCCCATCTTATTCTCACACAGCCCATCTTATTCTCACACAGCCCCTCTTATTCTCACACGGCCCCTCTTATTCTCACACAGCCCCTCTTATTCTCACACAGCCCCTCTTATTCTCACACGGCCCCTCTTATTCTCACACAGCCCCTCTTATTCTCACACAGCCCCTCTTATTCTTACATATCCTTTCTTATTCTCACACGGTCTTTCCTATTCTCATATTTCTCATTTTATTTTATCCGTTACTGGGTCAGAGTATCATCTGCTCACAGCCTCAGTCTTACGCCGACCTCATAAATTGAAAGTAAATTAGTGGGGCGGTTAAGGAAAAGATCTGGTAAAAATCCTGGACTTTGCGTTAAAAACATGACACTGGCACATGGGTGAAATAAACTCTGCTAATTATTTTTTAATGTGGATCCACGTCAGCATGGAACCTTGATGGTTATCACGAATATTTTTTTTCAAAATGGACGCGATTTTTTTTCAATCGCCTGTGTCATTTGAATTCTTCAGTGTAAGATAGCAATCGTGGTACCTAAATATATAGTTTTAAGGTGTACAAAGCCTTTGAACGCGACAAAAGTTGTATACATGATATAATTTTTGAGATATGTACTTATTTAGTTGAAATATTACACGCAAAACACTAAATTGCCAACACGGAACTGTCAGTTAACTTACCGCAGGCCGGTTTTTTTTTTTTATTTGCTTCCACCATTTCAAACTGACCACTTCCGCATAAGTAAGATATTCTTGAAGGGGTAAAACAATTTTACCGCAACCTTAACCCTACAGTATATAAACTAATGTCTTTGCGTGTTACGGATGCCATCAAGAAAGTAAATAAAGTCAAGACAATAGTAAAGTAGTACAATTAGTACAATTAACCATGATAAAGCATTACAAGCTTGTAGATGCTGTGGCCAAACTGTTCCAAGCAGACTGTCAACCCAACTGTAAAGAATTAATATATACTTTGCCAAGCAGAAACTTCAGAGGCACTAGTGTTCTGCCAATAGGGAAGGATGTTCGTGATGGGTACACACACGTTGCCGAAAATCTAATCAAATTTCAAGAGCACATTGCCTTGACTGCACGTGTAAATATATAATACTTGAATATCAGGTAGAAGCAGGAAAATACTTTATAGGAAAATGATACATGGCAAATTCTTGTAGAAATAAAATTTGTAAAGACAAGCTTCAAGAGCATGAAAGAGAAAGAATGATGAATCACGGGAGCCAAATCCAGTAAACCTGAGATCTAGTTCTGAGCAGCAAAAACAAGAAAAAACAAAGTATATGTGTTTCTTCTGTGATAAGGTTGCTGCACCCACTGGGATTCATAAGGCATCTATGTTTGATGGTGCTTTTAAAGTCAGAAAATGTGCAACAGACCTTCGTGACACAGAACTGTTAGCAAAATTAGCTGCTGGGGACATTGTGGCTATTGATACAAAACTGCAAAACTGTAGAAACAGGCGCAACTCCCAAGAAAAGATTGTACAGAAAGTTCACCAGAAACCTTGTTGCATGACAAAGTCTTCGTTGAATTTGTTTCATACAGTGAATCCTAATGGGAGTCAATGGAAGCCATCTCAATCTTTAAAATGGGACACCAGAAAAACCTTTACATATCTAGGCTATCTGAACTTGGTATGAATGAAGTGCCATTTCATACTACTAGACATAAGAATGGGATTGTGGAAAATTGCATTTATCTGAATGTAACTAATTATGTACGTAACAGTAAATGATAACAAAGATAATTATTATTTATCAATGTTACATAGACAAGTAGGAATTTGGGACACCTAGGTCGCAAAACTGCCCCCTTCGATACCTACCACTGTCATAACCACAAGTTGCTCTGGACCTATTAAGTAATGAAATATATATACACCAGGAATACTGGTAAATATATAAATTTGTGGACTGTATATTAAAAATAATAAATGGTTATATATATACACAATTACATAACAGAAGGAAAATATATCTTAATATCACTCACCAATTTGACTGGAGATTAATGTGTCATGTACAGAACCCCCCCTTTTGCGTACATTTATGAAAATTTTACTGGCCAGAAATTAAACATAAATTAGACAGCTTATCTGAGGTTCCTGGAGTTGTCCTGTCCTATCGCCTGATATCTCAAGTTATGCAGGAATGCATATCCACCAATTTCGCCTCCTATTTGAGAGGTGTCAGCACAATTTTAACCTCTAGAGCACGAAAAATTCTTCCCCATTCACCAACGTTTCTAATACAAATTCAAACAAAATGGCGACTGACTCCCCCAGCCGCAGGTTTCCCATTTTCGATATCATACTTCTTTTAAAAATACAATATAGGGCATCTATTTACCTATAAATTACCGTATTTCCGGAAAATATATACAGTATTTTCCACAGGGATAATGGCTATAGTTCCCGACCTTAGAAGTCATACCGAAGGCAGGAATGCTCTACTTGCATATGACCAAGATAATGGAGCAGCTCATCTCTCTTGGTCCTCAGGCACTAGTGTCCCGAGAATTCGACACGGAATTCGGTTCATTTAACCTTTCTTCGTAGCTCATATCCCTTTGGAACTAGTCTTGCTGCCTACTTCTGCACTTTCTCACACTTCTTCAGGTGTGGGTTTCATACTGGTGCTGCATACTCCAAGATGGGACTGATGTATGTTGAATAAAGTACCCGAACTGACTCTGCTGAGATTCCTGAAGCTACTCTCAGATTTGCCAGGAGAGCATTGGCTGCAGAAGTTATTCGGTTGTGAGCCTCTGGTGATATGGTAGGCACTATGCTCACCCCTAGGTCCTCTTTGAATGATATATGCATCATCTGTCCCCTGAGTTTATATTATGTCCAGTCTGTTGGTCCCTTTTCTAATCTTCATAACCTTTCATGTACTGGAGTTGAATTCAAGCACCCACTTATATGATCAACCCCGCAGTTTGTCCAGATCCTTTTGTAGCTTTTCCACGTTCTAATTTGTTTCTATTCTTCTCTTTAGTTTTACATCACAAGCGAATGGAGATACATCTTACTCGGTTCCTTCTGATATGTCGTTCACATAAACTAGAAACAGCACTAGCTCTAATACCCATCGATCCTTGTGCTATGCTGCTTGTTACTCTTTCTCATTCTGACATATCTTCCCGGACAATCACTATTTGCGTCTTTCATCTAAGGTAATATTCAGTCCACCAGAGTACATTCCAGTTATTTCTGCCTATTTCTCAGGTTCTTTCCCAGTCTTATGTGGGGTATATTATTATTATAATCAAAACTAAGTGCTAAACCCACAAGGGTCACACAGCTCTGCAGGGGTAGGGTGTGCTAACAGTTTAATATTCTTGATCACAGACTAGCGAGGGTGGAGAGTATAACGGAGACAGTTTGTACATGTGCGATACAGTATCAAATACTTTCTTGCGGTCTAAGAAACTGCAATCTACCCAGCCCTCCCTCTCCTGCCTCTATTTCCGTTATTTTGTCATACTATTATCATAATAAAAAAGAAGCGCTAAATACTTTGTCACAGAATTCCATAGGGTTGGTAAGACAAGACTTGTGAACTCTGAACCCGTACTGGTTATTTATGAAGCTACTTTCCAAGTGCGCTACCACTCTCCTGACTATAAACTCCCATTGTCTTGCACGGTAAACATGTCAGCCAAACTGGCCTGTAGTTCAGCGCATCCTGCCTAATACCTCTTGGTGTATATACACTGAGGAAATTATTATAATCAAAACCAAGCGCTAAACCCACAAGGGTCATGCAGTGCTGCGTATAATATATAATATATATATATAAAATATATATATATATATATATATAATATATATATATATATATATATATATATATATATATATATATATATATATATATATCCTAGCCAGACTAAAATGTTAATTGTTAATTTTACAGCGCCCCTGTCCACTGCACCAAGTGAATCACTGATGCGGTGAAAAGAGGCAACTTAAAACTGATATTTCAGTCGGCTGAAATGTAAAGAATAGGAATTACAATTGTTCACAAGTCAACTGAAATGAAAATGCTTAATGTTGCATTCATATATTATTATTACTATTAAAACTAAGCGCTAAACCTAAAAGGGTCATACAGTCATTCATGTATGCATCGAGAGATGTGCATACACAGAAAAATGTACACCTCTCGGTGTGTATAAACTGATATATTCCCCTCTCGGTATACATCAAGTGTGTGCTGCTCGCACGATACTCACCACGAGAACTCCAACCTGACCCATAACCGCTCGCTACCACTGTAACTACTACACTGACGCCCTTCCCTCTTTACTCCTTCACACCTCTCTCCTTATCTCCTCACCCTTTCCTGTCTCTATCCCACCCTCTTTACCTCCTTCCATCTCTCTTAGCCACTCCCACCTCACTCCTAGTCCCTCCTACCTCACTCTTAGCCCCTCCCACCTTACTCATAGCCATTCACCTGCTCGTAGCCCCTCCCACCTCACTCCTTGCCACACCCACCTCACTGATTGCCACACCCACCTCACTCCTTGCCACACCCACCTCACTCCTTGCCACACCCACCTCACTCCTTGCCACACCCACCTCACTCCTTGCCACACCCACCTCACTGATTGCCACACTCACCTCACTCCTTACCACACCCACCTCACTCCTTGCCACACCCACCTCACTCTACTAGTTATTCAGTCTTCCAGATACTAAGCTTCCAACACATTTGTTACTCTATGGCTATGCTCTCCTATGCACATTACTGTTTTTCAGTTAAGCATTAAACCAATAGCAATCATAGAGCACCTGATTATAATAAAACTAAGCACTAAACCCAACAGAGTCATATAGCACCGTTATAATACCCGAGGATAATAGAGAACAAGGTTTGATACGAGAAATGCAGTTAATTCCTTGATTGAATTAATTTTAATAAAGGGAAATGCTAAACCCATAGGGATCACAGCCTGGGAGGCATTCAGGTCCAATCCAAGAGGTTAAGTTCCTTGGATCATTATAGGGAGCACTAAACCCATAGGGGGTTCATTGGATCAAAAGCCCCTCACAGGCATCAATGCACTTTCCATGAGGGAAGGAGGTACTTCAAATCCAGTTGGTGCACTCTTCGATGATCAAGATAATGCTAGACAACATGGACAGCTAGATGTGCAAAGTGAAAAGTTTGTATTTTCTGAAAAAAAATTAGCAGATACCAGTGATAATATTGTTTGTGCGCTTTGGGAGATAATTATGATCATGGGGAGCATTAAAGCCATAGGGATTATACAACACCTGTGGGAAGGGGGGGTTGGAAGGCTCTTAGGCTCAATTTAGGGAACTAGAGCACAGAGGGGTTAGGAGGACATGTCTTATGCATGACATATTCCCATGTCTTTCATTTTATTTTTCAAAAGATATTTCCCCCAGGTGATAATTCTCCGAAGTCTCCTTTTCTATGGTGTGTATCACAATGTTCTCTCATGCCAAATATTCATCCTGTACATTACTCAGAATTACGATTTTATTTAGGAAAAACACGTAATTTGTAGGGGTCGTAAAGCACCCTGTAAATCAGAGGTAATCAAATTTGATCCAAGGAAGTGGAGATCGTCCAATTCCCTGGATCAAGAACTCCTCACTGGCGTCAAGGCACCTTGAAAGGAATACAGAAGCCAGATTATTGTTATTATTATAATCATGGGGAAGTGCTAAACCCATAGGGTTATACAGTGCATGGGGGGGGGGAGATGGAAGGTATTCAGGGTTACTTCAGGAAACTGGAGCACAGATCCAATTCCCTAGATCAAGAGCCCCTTACCAGCATCAAGGAACCTCCCTTGAGGGGTAGATAATTGTTATAAAATAAAAACTGTAGCTGTCTGCAAATATTAAGTACACAATACGTATACAGTATATCTATTTGGTGGTATTATTGTTAATGGGAAAGTGCTAACCCGATGGAGGTCATACAGGACCTAAGTAATAAATCAGATTTGATATGAAAGGGAATAAACTCCGAGCCATCATCAGCATCTAGGTACCTACCTTGAATGAAGTGTGACAAATGTATATAGTCAAGGTGTACATTTTTCCATGTACATATGAAAAAGTGCAACTATGAAACCCCAAGACCATTGATAATTTATATGTATATAATTTAAGATAAGAGTAGGTTGGTAGACAGCAACCACCCGAAGAGGTACTATCGTCCTGCAACGTGAGTGTAAAACGAAAGCCTGTAATTGTTTTACATGACGGTAGAATTGCTGGTGTCTTTTGTCTGTCACATAAATATGCAAGATTACAGGTATGTCTTGCTACTTCTAATTACACTTAGGTCACATTACACATACATGTACACGTTTATTTATACACACTCATCTGAGTTTTCTTTGATTTTATCTTAATAGTTCTTGTTCTTATTACTTTTCCTTTTATATCCATGGGGAAGAGGAATAAGAATCTTTCCTCTATAAGCCATGCATGTTGTAAAAGTCAACTAAAATGCCGGGAACAATGGGCTAGTAACCCCTTTTCCTGTAATAATTACTAAAAAGAATAAGAAAATTGTCAAAGTGGGATGTCTGAATGTGCGTGGATGTTGTGCAGATGATAAGAAAGAGATGATCGTGGATGTTATGAATGAGAAGAACCTGGATGTCCTAGCTATAAGTGAAACAAAGCTGAAGGGGGTGAGAGAATTTCAGTGGAGAGGAATAAATGGTATTAGGTCAGGGGTTTCAAATAGAGTTAGAGCTAAAGAAGGAGTAGCAATAATATTGAAGGATAAGCTATGGCAGGAAATGAGGGAGCATAAATGTATTAATTCAAGGATTATGTGGAGTAAAATAAGGGTTGGCTGTGAAAAGTGGGTTATGGTAAGCGTATATGCACCTGGAGAAGAGAGAAGTGTAGAGGAGAGAGAGAGAGATTTTGGGAAATGTTGAGTGAATGTGTGGGGAGTTTTGAACCAAGTGTGAGAGTACTTGTGGTTGGGGATTTCAATGCTAAAGTGGGCAAAAATGCTGTGGAGGGAGTCGTAGGTAAATGAAAATGGGGAGCCTTTAATTGAGCTATGTGAAGAAAGAGGTTTAGTAATAAGTAATACATATTTTATGAAATAGAGGATAAATATACAAGGTATGATATAGCACGTAATGAAAGTAGTTTGTTAGATTATGTATTGGTGGATAAAAGGTTGATGGGTAGGCTCCAGGATGTACATGTTTATAGACGGGCAACTGATATATCGGATCATTATTTAGTTGTAGCTACAGTTAGAGTAAGAAGTAGATGGGACAAGAGGAAAATGACAAAAAGTAAGAGGGAGGTAAAAGTGTATAAACTAAGGGAAGAGGAAGTTCGGGTGAGATATAAGCAACTATTGGCAGAAAGGTGGGCTGGTGCAAGTATGAGTAGTGGGGGGGTTGAAAAGGGTTGGAATAGTTTTAAAAATGCAGTATTAGAATGTGGGGCAGAAGTTTGTGGTTATAGGAGAGTGGGTGCAGGAGGAAAGAAGAGTAATTGGTGGAATGATGAAGTAAAGGGTGTGATAAAAGGAAAAAGTAGCTTATGAGAGGTTTTTACAAAGCAGAGGTGTTATACAAAGAGTATTATTATTATAATCAAGGGGGAAGCGCTAAACCCGGAGGATTATACAGCGCCTGGGGGGGGAGGATGTGGAAGGCATTCAGGCTTAATTCAGGGAACTGGAGCACAGATCCAATTCCCTAAATAAAGAGCCCCTCACCAACATCAAGGAACCTTCCTTGAGGGGTACACAAAGAGTAGAGTACATGGAGAGTACAAGAAAGGTGAAGAGAGTGGTGAGAGAGTGCAAAAGGAGAGCAGATGATAGAGTGGGAGAGGCACTGTCAAGAAATTTTAATGAAAATAAGAAAATTATTTCCCAGTAAAAGTAGGCCTTAGACAAGGATGTGTGATGTCACCGTGGTTGTTTAATATATTTATAGATGGGGTTGTAAGAGAAGTAAATGCGAGGGTCTTAGCAAGAGGCGTGGAGTTAAAAGATAAAGAATCACACATAAAGTGGGAGTTGTCACAGTTGCTCTTTGCTGATGACACTGTGCTCTTGGGAGATTCTGAAGAGAAGTTGCAGAGATTGGTGGATGAATTTGGTAGGGAGTGCAAAAGAAGAAAATTGAAAGTGAATACAGGAAAGAGTAAGGTTATGAGGATAACAAAATGATTAGGTGATGAAAGATTGGATATCAGATTGGAGGGAGAGAGTATGGAGGAGGTGAATGTATTCAGATATTTGGGAGTGGACGTGTCAGCGGATGGGTCTATGAAAGATGAGGTGAATCATAGAATTGATGAGGGAAAAGGGTGGTGGTGCACTTAGGAGTCTGTGGAGACAAAGAACTTTGTCATTGGAGGCAAAGAGGGGAATGTATGAGAGTATAGTTTTACCAACGCTCTTATATGGGTGTGAAGCATGGGTGATGAATGTTGCAGCGAGGAGAAGGCTGGAGGCAGTGGAGATGTCATGTCTGAGAGCAATGTGTGGTGTGAATATAATGCAGAGAATTCGTAGTTTGGAAGTTAGGAGGAGGTGCGGGATTACCAAAACTGTTGTCCAGAGGGCTGAGGAAGTGTTGTTGAGGTGGTTCGGACATGTGGAGAGAATGGAGCGAAACACAATAACTTCAAGAGTGTATCAGTCTGTAGTGGAAGGAAGGCGGGGTAGGGGTCGGCCTAGGAAAGGTTGGAGGGAGGGGGTAAAGGAGGTTTTGTGTGCGAGGGGCTTGGACTTCCAGCAGGCATGCGTGAGCGTGTTTGGTAGGAGTGAATGGAGACAAATGGTTTTTAATACTTGACGTGCTGTTGGAGTGTGAGCAAAGTAACATTTATGAAGGGGTTCAGGGAAACCGGCAGGCCAGACTTGAGTCCTAGAGATGGGAAGTACAGTGCCTGCACTCTGAAGGAGGGGTTAATGTTGCAGTTTAAAAACTGTAGTGTAAAGCACCCTTCTGGCAAGACAGTGATGGAGTGAATGATGGTGAAAGTTTTTCTTTTTCGGGCCACCCTGCCTTGGTGGGAATCGGCCAATGTGATAAAAAAAAAAAAAATTAAAGTTAAACAAGTTAAGAAAGCCTAGGGAAAGAATGGATATGTCAGTTAAAAACAGAGTAGGAAAGTTAGTGGATGGGGAGATGGAAGTATTGGGTAGATGGCAGGAATATTTTGAGGAACTTTTAAATCTCGACGAAGAAAGGGAGGCGGTAATTTCTTGCACTGGCCAAGGAGGTATACCATCTTGTAGGAGTGAAGAAGAGCTGGATGTGAGTGTGGGGAGCTGCGTGAGGCATTACATAGAATGAAAGGGGGTAAAGCAGCTGGAACTGACAGGATCATGACAGAAAGGTTAAAAGCAGGGGGTGATATGAGTTGGAGTGGTTGGTATTTTTGTTTAATAAATGTATGAAAGAGGGGAAGGTACCTAGGGATTGGCAGAGA